TTACAAAAACATAATAACCCATTGCCATAAAACTAGTATAGTTTCCAAAATATACATACTACATATAGTAAGAAAATACTTACCATAGCCTGCAAAATCTCAAGAATTCAATAGGCACAATATTTCGTAAGTAAGCACACGACGTCTGTAATCACATAATCTCGCTTAAGCAAACATATCATAACAAGTGTTTATCGACACATGCTGACACACGAGTTCATGCAAAGAGATATTCTGACATGAATAAGACTGGGCGTAACAATGATATACACTCTAGTACTACAATCACATGAAGACTAGCGTTATGCGTAGCACATACAAGTCCTAATTGCCTATAGCAATCTAGGATAGGACTGGCACGTACAATGGATACAAAGTGAGCGTACGGTGCGATGTGCACATACATGTGAAAGACTGGCTCTGGCCCGGGCAAGTTTTAACACCGATGCAGCAAACAATAAGTATATAACATAAATATAGTCATGCCACTATGATTTGATAATTCTAGTCAACATAATATCATTCACAGCCGTAAATATAATTATGGCATCCCGTAATATTCATAATGATTTCCTAATTCTTTTCGTTACGTCATTTCCAATAAATATTAATTTAACTACGGCATTCATATAGAAAATTCATTATTAAATGTATATATAGAAACTAAACATATATATATATATATATCAAAGAAAAACCCATTCACAATTCATGTCGTCGAGTCGAACCCGCCTCGTAGTATTGAGAGTCCTTGTGATGTGCTTCGCCTAAAAACGAAACCATGTATATAAATACGTAACGTACTAATGTACAAACGTGTTTTCGTACAAAGTACAGCTAATAAAAGAACTATTTAAAAACCATCGAATTTCGGAAAACGAAGGGTGGATTCAGGCTTGGCACGTCGAGAAACCTAAGGAAGGACCTCGGGTTTCTGCACGCACCGCCACACGTGCTTTCATCGTGAATCCCATATTTTTTGTAAGTTTTTAGGCTAACTTTCAGAGCTCAAAACGTGCTCAAATCTCAACCAAATGCAGTGATTCAAAAGTCAACTAGAAGCTAGCTAGGAATGTGGGAAAGAGGTTTATACCAGTTTAAGGTCCAATCATGGTCGAAGTTGACCGGGGGAACGGCCTAAAAGTGGCTTGATGGCCACGGTCAGATCTTCCAGAAATCTGGAAAAACTTCATTTCGTTATTTCAGTCATCGAACCCTACCAAAACAAGTTTAAAACTCTAAGATCTTCCACAAATATTGAAAAGGAAGGGAAAAAGAGTGTTCCTGAGGCTTACCTTGGTCAGAATCAACGAGAAATCAGTCGGAGAAGATGATGAATGGTGGCAATGGCCACTGTGCAGTGCAAGCTCCATGTTTGGGTTCGGTGTTCACAATTTGAACTTGATTGAGATAAGGAAAGATAAGACGCGGTGGTGGTCTAATGGTCTAACTCGCCGGAATGGTCGAGTAGTGGTGGTTAACACTGTGCACAGGGAGTGTAGAGAGAGTTTGAGGTGAGACAGTTTTAGAGAGATAAAGTAGGAAACGAAGATGAAAGAGAGGAGAAGAGAGTGTCCTCGAGCATGGCTGTGATAGTGGCCATCTCGCCAGAGATGATGGAGTGATGATATGGTGGTTGTTTGGTCCTCGGCATGGGCTGTACAGAGAGGGTAGAGAGTTCAAAATGATTAAAAGGTGAGGGATGAGAGTATTAGAAGAAAGAGATACAGACTTTGCCCAAAAATGAGGTAAAGAATGAAAGACACGGGATGAGGGAGAGGAGTGGGTGTGGGACCCACAAAACAAACATTTTTATTTGAAAATAATAAATAACAAAGGGTCAAATATCTGGAATTGTGATTTTACCAAAATGCCCTTCAACTTTGTAAATTTTTAAAATCTCCTTCATAGCCCCGAATTCGATTCCACTTGCACCAACGAGTTCGTAGCGATGAGTAGTACGCAAGTACACTAAAACAATGGTCAACAGAAGTCAAAATCCTTGCCTGTAGGGGCATTTTTGTAAATTCACACTTTTAAAATTTATAAAAACGTAGAATTAAGGACGGGTTGTCACAAGTAGCCTCATGGAGGATAGATCCCCCATTGGGGATGCTGTAAGGCACGAAAATCCATCATTATTAGAATAAATAAAGGTACAAAGCTAGGGGGTGAAAGTACAATTCTAATACACTTGAGCTCTTCTCTATCTGTCATCCGTCCTTTCTCACCCACTTTTATAATTAGTTTCCCAACCATTTTTTATTTATTGTTTATTTTTGTGTTAGGTATGAAGGGGAAACCCATGAGAGAAATGAGAGATGTTGAATGGTGGAGGAGGATAGTGGAAAGAGATTTAAAAGAAATCCACAAAATGAAAACTATAAAAATTAATTTAATTTGTTTTCACCTCTATCTATAGTTAGTAAAATGCAGAAATGATATAGTATGTGAAAAATACATACATGTATACTTTAGAATATTTGCAAAAATATATTTTATTTTCAAAATTTTAATATTGATTTATTTTATTTTTTCAGTAATATGTTAAGATACGTGTAGAATAAATTTCATGTTATTATTAAAATTGTGTCCAAATAATTTATATTAAAGTATGTAGGTACGTGTATCGTATTTTAAAAAGACGTGGACCTTAACAAGCCACTAAGACATGTCAAAACAACAAAAAAAGTTTAAAAAAATACATAAGTACGTGTATAATATGCACATTATACACAAAATTTACTAACTATGCTTATAAAAAAGTCCAAAAAACAATTATGCAGTATCAAGGAAAATTATAATCAGCTGTGGCTGTATATAGACAATGCTTTAGTAATCAACAACTCACATCCTAACGCTTGTCTTAATTTCGGAAAACGAAGGGCGGATTTGGGTTTGGCATGTCGAGGAACCTAAGGAGGGACCTCGGGTTTCTCCACGTGCCACCACAAGGTGGCTACATAGACAGCCACGCGCTGCACGTGTCGGCACCACACGTGCCTCACATGCCACCACCACGCACACCACATGTGCGTTCATCATGAATCTTAGATTTTTTGTAGGTTTTTAGGCTAACTTTCAGATCTCAAAATGTGCTCAAATCTCAACCAAATGCAGTGATTCAAAAGCCAACTAGAAGCTAGGAATGTGGGGAAGAGGTTTATACCAATTTGAGGTCCAATCGTGGTCTGAGTTGACCAGGGGAACGGCCTAAAAGTGGCCTGATGGCCACGATCAGATTTTCCAGAAATTTGGAAAAACTTACCGAAACAAGTTTAAAAACCTTAAGATCTTCCACAAACATCGAAAAGGAAGGGAAATAGAGTGTTCCTGAGGCCTACCTTGGTCGGAATCAACGAGAACTTGTTGGAGAAGATGATGAATAATGGCAATGGCCATTGTGCAGTGCAAGCTCCATGTTTGGGTTCGGTGCTCACAGTTTGAACTTGATAGAGATAAGGAAGGATAAGACTTTTAAATCTCCTTCATAGTCCCGAATTCGATTTCGCTCGAGCCAACAAGTTCGTAGCAATGAGTACTATGCAAGTACACTAAAAGAATGATTCATACGTCTCTTTAAACAATGGTCAATAGCCAACTAGAAGCTAGGAATGTGGGGAAGAGGTTTATACCAATTTGAGGTCCAATCGTGGTCTGAGTTGACCAGGGGAACGGCCTAAAAGTGGCCTGATGGCCATAGTCAGATTTTCCAGAAATTTGGAAAAACTTCATTTTGTCATTTTAGTCACCGAACCCTACCGAAACAACTTTAAAACCTTAAGATCTTCCACAAACAGTCGAAAAGGAAGGGAAATAAAGTGTTCCTGAGGCCTACCTTGGTCGGAATCAACGAGAACTTGTTGGAGAAGATGATGAATAATGGCAATGGCCATTGTGCAGTGCAAGCTCCATGTTTGGGTTCGGTGCTCACAGTTTGAACTTGATAGAGATAAGGAAGGATAAGACTTTTAACTCTCCTTCATAGTCCCGAATTCGATTTCGCTCGAGCCAACAAGTTCGTAGCAATGAGTACTATGCAAGTACACTAAAAGAATGATTCATACGTCTCTTTAAACAATGGTCAATAGAAGTCAAAATCCTTACCTCTAGGGGTATTTTTGTAAATTCACACTTTTAAAATTTATAAAATCATAGAATTAAGGACAGGTTGTCACAAGTAGCCTCATGGAGGATAGATCCTCCATCAATAAATAAAGGTACAAAGCTAGGGGGTGAAAATACAATTCTAATACACTTGAGCTCTTCTCTATCTATCATCCGTCCTCTCTCACCCACTTTTACAATTAGTTTCCCATCTGTTTTTAATTTATTGTTTATTTTGTGTTAGGTATGAAGGGGAAACCCATGAGAGAAATGAGAGATGTTGAATGGTGGAGGAGGATAGTGGAAAGAGATTTAAAAGAAATCCACAAAATGAAAACTAAAAATTAAAAATTATTTTAATTTGTTTTCACCTCTATCTATAGTTAGTAAAATGCAAAAATGATATAGTATGTGAAAAATACATACATGTATAATTCAGAATATTTGCAAAAATATATTTTATTTTGAAAATTTTAATATTGATTATTTTTATTTTTTCAGTAATATGCCAAGATGCGTGTAGAATAAATTTGATGTTATTATTAAAATTGTGTCCAAATAATTTATATTAGAATATGTAAGTACGTGTATCGTATTTTAAAAAGACGTGAACCTTAACAAACAACTAAGACATGTCAGAAAAACCAAAAAAATTTAAAAAAATACATAAGTACGTGTATAATACGCACATTATACACAAAATTTACTAACTATGCTTATAAAAAAAGTCCAAAAAAGAATTATGCAGTATCAAGTAAAAATATAATCAGCTGTGGCTGTATATAGACAATGCTTTAGTAATCAACAACTCATATCCTAACACCTGTCTTAATTTCCATATTCTACGACACGTGTCTTCTTTTTATTTTCGGTTTTCATTTTTCATCTCAACGCCTGAAAAAATGAAAAAAAAAAAATCAGAAACTCAGTAGGCTCGCTTCGCTCCTTTCGTACCTGTAGCCTGTAGGTGAGTCAGCCCCAAACACAGCAACTCCCGCCCCTGCGTTTCCGACGGACGGAGATCGGAAACCGACGACCGGCGACCGCAACGACTTCATTGCAATTGCATCACCCATAGCCGACTCGTCGTTTTTGAAGGTAATTTTATCGAATCATTTTTCTACAACCTTCATTGGATTTCTGTGGGTGAAGTTTGTGGGGGCGAACGCAATTGGAAATTGGGGTATGAACAAGTTGAGCTCGTTCTTTCATTTTTTAGATTAATTTTACTTTGTTTTACTGTAAATTATAACACCCACAATTCTATATATATGTAAAGATTCAAGCTTTATTTCATTTTTAGATTAATTTTATTACTACCAACTATGCATTTCACTGTAATGTGTGATTTTTGATAATATAGTAAGTGTTTAAGGGCTTGTTTGAAAATCATTTTAAAATGACTGAAACTGCTTTCGGTGGAATTGATTTAGGGTTTAAAAGCATTGTAAGTGCTTTTTGGAATAAGTACTAGATATGTGTTTCTTGCTGAAAGCACTTAAAATGCTTTTCTAGGATTTACTTGAATTTTTATTAAGGATTGGTTTCAAAAACATTTTCAGCAAAAGTGTTTTCAGTTATTTAAAAAACATTTCCAAACAAGCTCTAAATCTTTGGGTGGTTCTGTATCTGGTGTTTTATTTATTTATTTACTTGGTTCTGCATTGCTGTTAATTCGCTTAATGGAAAGGCCTGAATTGAATTCACTAGAAGCTGGATTTTGATTAACATTGAAGTATTCGTATCGAAATTTGACATAGTCAGAGTATTATTGTGTATGGAGAATTTCTGTTGGTTGATATCGTTCTAATTAATTAACATTTAGGTTATGGAGAAAAATGACTGCACAAGGTTAAGTAGCGAGTCGTTAAGTGGCGAAGAAGTGGATTTGCAAGGTAACTGGATCTTCTTTGAGATCTAATGATCCAGATAAAGTTGAAGAGATGACTGAAGATCTCAAACTTGGAATTGAGTTCAGTTCTCATGATAGTGCATATGTAGCTTATGTCAAGTATGGTGCAAAACACGGTTTTGATGTGAGGAAGCATCATAGAAAGACTAATAAGATGGGTCTTGTATCAAGGGTAACTTATGTTTGTTCAAAACAAGGTCACCGGAGAAAGGATAATAAACGGTGTGAGAGTATAACTTATTCTTTACCAAGTTCAAGGGTTGGCTGTGAAGCGCATATGGTTTGTTTACTCATGAAAACTGGAAAGTTTAAGATTATATCGTTTAATGCAAGTCATAATCATGATTTGATTAAAGCACCCATGAAACACATGCTAAAGGTTAATCGTTGTTTATCTAGAGCTCAAAAGGGACATGTTGCTGACGGGGAAAAATCAAGGTCACCAATAAAAGAAACAGTGGAACTAGTGAGTAGAGAAGTTGAGGGGCAAGAGAATTTTGGTTCCGGGGATAACGATTATCGAAATTACCTACAGAGAAAGCGGAAGTTAAAAATGGAAAAGGGAGATGCTGGGGCCATATTGCAATACTTTCAAAATATGCGTGAAGATAACTCATCTTGTTTTTATTCAGTGCAGCTTGATGAGGATGATAGGATCACAAATGTATTTTGGGCAGATGCACGTTCAGTTTGTGATTATAAAGCCTTTGGTGATGTTGTTTGTTTTGATACCACTTATCAGATAAACGAATATGGTAGGCCATTTGCACCATTGATTGGGGTTAATCATCATAAACAAATTGTAGGTTTTGGTGCAGCTTTACTATATGATGATAGCAGAGACTCTTTTAAGTGGCTGTTTGAGACTTTTCTTGCAGCAATGTCTGGGAAGCAACCGAAGACCATACTTACAGACCAATCTGCTGCAATGGCAGAGGCAATATTAGAAGTTTTTCCTGAAGCTAACCATCGGTTATGTGCTTGGCATATTTACCAGAAAGCTGCCAAGAATTTAAGCCACGTGTTTCATGCATCAAAGCAATTTGCTTGTGATCTTAGCAAGTGTGTATATGAATATGAAGATAAAGATGCATGGCTTTCTGCATGGAATGATATGCTTGAAAATTATGATCTCAAGGAGGATAATTGGTTAAAAGAAATATATGAAGTGAGGGAAAAATGGGCATTGGTGTATGAACGACACACTTTCACTGCAGACTTGATGAGTATACAACACAAGGAAAGTATCAGCAATGTGTTGAAAAAACACTTGATGCCAAGTCATGATCTCTTGTGCTTCTTTGAACATTTTGAGAATATTTTGGCAGATCGACGAGATAAGGAATTACAAGCTGATTTCAAGATGATGCAGACCGTACCTTCACCAGTGATTAATGTGGAGATGTTAGAGCGTGCTGTGGAGGTTTATACCCCAGAAGTTTTTAGACTCTTTGAAAAAGAGTACATGGGAATTCTTAATTGCAGTGTCTATAAAATTGGTAAGTCTGGGACGACAAGTGAATACAAAGTATCTTATAGATCTCATGAGCATTTGGTTAAATATGATGGTTCAACACAAGCAGTTAATTGTAGTTGCAAGAAGTTCACTTTTGTTGGGATTTTATGTTCTCATGCATTGAAAGTGCTAGATAAGAAGAATGTGAAAACAATCCCACCTGATTACATATTGAAGCGCTGGACAAGAGGTGCAAGGGATAGGAGCCTCACTAGTTACCATGGAATTGAAACTAGCAACAATCCAAGGGAGTCTCCTGGGAAGCGTTATAGCCATTTGTGCCATAATTTTCGTGAGATAGCATCCCTTGCAGCAGAAGATGAGAGGTTAACTGCATGTGCACACGATTGGTCAGTTCAGTTGCTTAAAAGTTTAGAGGAAATGAAGAAAAATCTTGGCCTAGATAATGTACCTGTTCATAAAAATTCAGAAGGCGAAGCTTTAGTTGGAGAAAGTGGTGGAACTAAGCAGGTGAAAATGGTAAAGCACAACGATTGTGAAATAACAAAAGAACGTGGAGTTAAAAGAAAGTATACAGCGAAATGCCCATGTAGTAGACTGACAGAACCTGCGGAAACTCAGAAGCATATACCACCAACCAAAGGCACACAATATGCAGCAAGACATTGGCTGTTAGAGGTACTTGTTCTGAAATTTATTGAATAGATTAAACTAATTACAATTATTTTGTTTGCTTATGCTTCCTTCCTTTTTGTGACAATTTAAAAGAGAAACTGGTTATTGGACATGAATTTCCAATGTTTGAAGTAACTAAAGTACGATATTCTTAGTAAGCATAAATATTGGCTCACGTGGGAATAATGTACTTCTTTTACATTTTTATACTTATGTCTTCATTTTTTTCTTTTCATGTCATCTGCATATTTAATATGTAGGGATCCTCTGTTGGAGCTAGAACCCAAGTATCATTACCAAGTCATAGATTTGATGCAAGTGCAACTGTCAATTTGCAGGGTACTCTGCCTTTCACTCAACATCGTCAGGTAACTTAAATGGAAGAATTATGGAATATTATTTACCTTAATTTTTTTTCAGTTTTATTCCTTCATCATTGTACAAAAATCCGATGTCTTAATTCCTTACAAAAACATTCTCATGTGCTATTGATAGGGGTCGTATGTTGATAATGGAAACCAAGTGTCATATTCAAGTAAAACTTTTGGCGCAACTCCAAGTTTCCTCAATAACATGCATTTCACTCAACTATGTCAGGTAACTGGTATCGGTATAGAAATGTTGAATGTCGTTTGATCAAAATTTTTGTTACATTAAAACTTCTGTTGAAATATTTTGTAGGAACCTTCGAGGCATCATAATCACTGTTCACAAAGTAATGGAGGCAAAGAGTCAGGAAATTGAGCACGTAATGAATGCCAATAGTTGACGGGTTTCATGGATTTTGTATGTACAGCTGCTTGGGATATCAACCATAGTTTTGTGCATAATGTGAAAGAGTAACATGTCGTATCTAGAGATTTTGTGCCGCATATACTGAAAATTGGAGCAGTAGAAGTTGCGTATGTTTTTTAGTTCATGCTCTTTTACTCTTTTAAGTTGTATTAATGGATATATTGGCTTGAATTTTCCTATGTTTCTAGTGTTTGGGTGAGAATGTACTTGGAACAAATTCGGATACAACATTGTACAAGCTTGCGGAGCTAGACACGACGTCAAGATTACTGTAGGTTAGAATATATGATAACGAAAACTAGATGTTCATATCAATTCTTTGAAGGTGTGGAGGTGAAAACATTCAGTATGAGTGATATCCATTATTGTAGGTGCTCTCAACATCTGAGTTGTGGCTTCCCGTTTCAGGGTCCTCAATATCCACCCCTCTTCTCTTCTATCTTTTCGCCATTTCGATTTTCGCAGCCGGTGATCAACGAGCTTGACAACGACACCAATAAAAACTGTTCCAAGCGTACCAATGCTTACAGCCAGTAGAACTACAAGCACCATTTCTATTTTCTGGCTATGCGGCATGATCACCCATGTTGCTGCAACAAAAGCTGTTGCCATGAACGCCACAGCTGCCCACATGACCTTGTGGGCAAACGACAGTAGTCTTATCAATGGCTTTCTCCGATAGGGGATGATACTGACGAGAACAACCACGATGGAGAGTGACGTGAACAGCGCAACGTAATTGCTTATTGCAAAGACCTTATAAGCATTCGTTTTGCCTGCTATTGACTTTCCCTCCATCCGTCCCTCCTGATAGACTCCGCCAGGGGGGTTGATACCAGCAGTAAAAGTAACTGTTGCAATCAGAATGGCAACGAGTATTATAGTGTTGCGGGCATTTTGCAGTGCCTCGGAATATACCTTATGATGCCTCCTACGGGGGTTGTAGAAAATATCAAACTCCGACTGGTGCCTTTTGCTAGGGTATTTGTGTTGTCTCACGATGGTTGGGAACAACTCTGGCTTTTGTGTTTGATAATCCAATCCGTCTCCACCTGAATGTTGAGGCGATGACTTGCTGGAATGCGGTGATGGCAGTTTTGGCGATGACTTGCTCGATTGGGGTGATGGCAAACTAGATGACTTCCTAGTTGGTGGTGATGAACTACATGGGGTCTTGGAGGCAGGGGAAGGTGCTTCATCTATAATGGACAGATGAAGTTCATGCTCTTTAACAAATTGCGCTCTTTTTGGCATGTTTTCGAGGACTTCCTGTTGGTTGAGGTCCGGCTGTTTCTACTCTCGGTGTATGAGATAACAACTCAATCCTTGTTTCCCCTCCCGCGCTTATGAGCATAGCTCGAAGACGCATGTTTTCCACACTGTTCTTGGCCTCGTTGAGGACGTCAAGTGCTGTCAACCCTTTACAGTTCTGATAATTGACGTCTGTTCTTTTCTTGTTGATTAGGTACTCTGCTATCTGCGGCAAAAGAAGTATCAAGAAGTTAAAATCATATATTTCTGATCAAAATTCACTAACTTTGTTCGATGAACATTGATATCTCACCTTATGTTGTGCTTCAGAAACTGCAAGATGCAAGATGGTGTTACCATGAAGATCCCGACAATCAAAGAACTCGGTGTCATCGCAGACATGAGTCAAGTACATCAGAGCATCATGTTGGCCGTATCTCACAGCTAAGTGAAATACCGTCTCACCAGATTTCGTGACAAATTGGAATGACGGTTTAGCCGTAGAGACAAACGCTTGAAGGACTGAAACTTTGTAGTTTATTACTGCCAAATGCAATGGCGTGTGTCCGTTGTTATTGTACTCCTGCGCAAGTTTCGGATCAATCCTCAGCAGCATCCCCGTCATCTCCCTGTGCCCTTTGCAAGACGCATAGTGCAACGGCGAATTTCCATTCTCATCAACCACACGAGCAAGCTCAGGACAGACTCTTAGCAACTCTTTAACAACATCTGCATAAAAGATTAGGTAAACTCGGTTAAGAAATTGTACCAAAAAACAAATTAAATTCGAAGAGAGAATTTTGATACTTACCAATATGTCCACCAGACACAGCCACATGGATACATGTTTGATCTTTCCCTAACCCTAGCATCCCAGACTCGTTGAGTAAGGCCAAGGACAGTGCACTCTTGTCTTTCGTGTTCAGCGTACTAGATAATCCGGATTGGCATCTAGTAAAAGCTTTAAGGCTTGAGCGTTCCCCGTTCGACAAGCCATATAGACCTTTGAGTTCCAAGGTTGTAAGTTGCAACCCTCTCAAGTTATCCGGAATCTGAGACGTGGTGATAAATGCGTCGTTTCCCTCCATTGGCTCTTTGTTTTTGAACAAACTCATTGCAACTTTGTAAGATTCAAACTCCAATTTTCTTTCTTTGTTTGAGAATTGTAGCAGGTACCCAACGTACTTAAAAGCAACTAGGTCTAGAGAAAAGACAACAAAAGGAAGATGCTTCGAAAGTTTACTGCAGCTACTGGGGCATGAGGGATCACACAAAAGTTGGTAAACGTTGACAAATTGATAAAGGATATAAATTGTGTCCCTGCATTAAGTTGTCCTTGTATCTTCAAAGAAAATTCGTGTTGGAAAAGATGATAATACTTACAAACGCATTCCCACCTTCAATTCTACATAGCGTCTAATGGCACATCGGTTGTGTTTTGCAACCGACATATGCATCTGAAGCTCAAGGAAAATTTTTATAGGCCAGCAATGTTGTATAGACGCTCAAGCATCAACACGTGCAAAAAAAGTGTAAGCGGATATGAGAATGCTTCGTTAGATGTGGGCATGCAAGAAATGACAAGATTGAGAACGAGGATATCTGTAAAGTAGGAATGGCCATAGTTGAGGATAAGATGAGAGAAAATCAGGTGATTTGTTCATATGAACGGAAGACCTATATATGCTCTAATTGGAAGATAGGATTATGAGATTGAGGCTCAGGGCAAAAGGGGCAGATGAAGATCTAGGAAGACTTAGAAAGAGACTCGAAGAAAAGACATGGAGTACTGGGGGCTGTGAAGCCAAAAATAATCAGGAAAATTATGGAGGCAACACGTGGACTTTTGGGTTAAAAGACAAAATTACCCTCGAAGGACATCGGGATTCCCACGCCCATGCAACGGACAATAACGACTCAATCAAGGAAGAGTCAAAGGTGATCAAAATGGTATTTATTGAAATCCCTCTCATCACTACTCATCAATTCCTTATTTAAAACGTAATTCCAAATTTTCCTATTCAATTTAGGTTTAATTGTCACTAATTGTATGATATTATTCCACATAATATTTTGCAATTACACTCACAATTTGACCATATATGGCCAACCCCTATTTTCCAAATAGGGCCGGTCACTCCAAACCCACAAACTTCTAAACACATTATCTTTCAAATTCTAACTTTGGCATCAGAGATTCTTCAGCCAAAGCCCCAACACACCCCCCCAAATTCATCGTGGGTGCGTGAGGCTTTTAGCCTTAATCTTAGGTGTTATTATTTTGCAGGTGCATTTTCGTCAAATGAGAAGATGGCGGAAATTTGCATCCATAAATTGGTGTTTTCATTAAGAGTCTTGATTCACACGCTGAAACAAGACTCTTGCATTCAAAGTTTCCCATTTCTTGTTCATTTGTAGATTTTTCGTATGTTCTTATTCTTAGAATTTTTTATAAAGTTTTTTGAATAAACATAAAAGAAAAGTACAATGACTAGAAATTCAGAAACCACAACGATAGGAACTTCCTACGTTCAAGGATTTAGACAAAGTGATGGAGATCAACGCATAGCCCCACCATGATGATCCACGACGCTCAACGTGATGACGAGTGGAGCTGCACCACCCCACAGGGCACCACTGTGACTATGCCAACAGCATCCACCACGGTAGCAGCCACTATGGTAGCTCATAGTGAGACCCAAGCCCACGGTGAAAGCATCACCTTGCAGCCGCAAGCTCAAGCCCATGCCACCTTGCAGCAACGAGCCCAGGCTCGTGCCACAAGAGAGCCTAGCACGGCCCAGCGCAAGTAGGCCTAAGCTGCAACCGCAGCTGCTAAGGCAGCGACCCAAGACCAGTAGGCCCAGGACGTCGTCAAAGGGAGCCCAATACCCATGCGCTTCAGCGATCCAGCCTACGCCTACAGTTTGACTTGTGCTTGTGACCCAACCCGCTTTCGAGGTTCAACCTAAGGTCTGGCTCACTCCCATGGCCCTTATAGTAACCCAAACCTGTCCAAGAGAGGTTTAACGGTCCCCACTTCAGATTTCTAGACCGACGATTAAACCGAGAGTATTTTCACCCCATTTCTCTATAAATTTGACATATCCCAACTTAAATCTCATGCCCAGAGTCCATTACACTTCCACTACTCAAGGAAACATATACCGTCCAAGCTTTTTCAACCCAAATGGCTAACAACACTTGTCTCGACAAGTCATAGAGTTGACAAGCGCCTTTGTGAATCAGCTCTTGCAGCGTACCAAGATGCAATGTGCCCCAAACAAGATGTCCCGAAGTAAGACAAGGGCAGGCGACGAACCTCTCCAGCAGCGTCCTAGCAAGCAACCACTCGACCAATCATGAACTAAGTGTTCTAGGCAGTGTACATTCTCAACTAAGCCTTTAAGATAATGTATACTCTCGCCTTAGCGCGCAGAGGAGTCTGTACTATCGGTTAGGCCCACGGATGAGCATACATTCATGGTTGGGGTCACACTCTAATAATCAACATGAGCAACCTTCCAAGCAAAGTGTTCATTCATGGCTAGGCCCGCAAGAGCTTCCTCCACCTCACATCGGAGTAGGCAGCACGATGGACGGAGAGAAGCAATCACTAAATCTAGGTCAAGTTCAACTGGTAGTCTGCGAGAAATTCGCTTGCCTGTTAGGAACATACCACATGCACCGCAACCGCGACATAGAAGAGCCGAACACATGGAATAGCAACTTAGACCCGTAAGTTACGACCGGTGGCAGCCGAGAGTTTTCATTACCCCAACAAAGTTAAATTCAGGAAAAAGTAGAGAGGCACATGACTGAGCAATTACGCGATTTCCAATGCAACGAGGTCACTGACAAAGCATTATAACGGGACATGACCAACATAAGTAGGTCATCTTTCACAGATGAGATCGAGCAGGCAAAGCATCCATGCAAGTTCAGCATGCCACATTTCACATCTTTCAAATGAAATGGTGACCCGAAAAGACACCTGAAGCACTACTGAAGCATAATGGTCATTTACTAGAACAACGACGCTCTTATGTGCAAGATATTTGCCACTATTTTACAAAGCGAGGCTCTGTAAAAGATGACCTACTTATGTTGGTTCCACACCCTACCTCCATAATCCATCTGGAATTTCAATAAGCTTTCTTTGGTTTTCACCAAGAGTATTCATCCTACCGCTTGATCAAGAAGAAGTCTAACCTTTTCTGCATCATAGCAAGTAGAGCAGTCTTTCTACATTTGGTCGTATGCTTCGCAAAGGAACTTGGGCAAATAACCCCTTTAACGCCATCAACAAGCTTGGCACATGCGTCCATGTCTTTGAGCATATCTGGCTTCAAAAGCGCACAGATCTCAGCAGCCTCTCCAAAAACAAGCTTGGTGGATTTCTCATAACTGCCATGCAAATAGTCTTTTCTTTCTCAGCAGGCGAACCAGCTTAGTAGTAAAAGAACATGCCTTGGCGCCACTTTAGCCGCGAATCCACCTTATCACTTTTCATAGTAGCAAGCATCTCCGAAGATAACCAGACTTAGCTCTCAACGAACGTCTTGGCATAAATTTCGGCACTAGGGACATGACGGAACATCTATGCTGAGCAATCCTATCAGCAATTGCACTAGCCACCTTTGGCATAGCAAACATCACTAGCTCGGATCTAGCAGCCCTATCTTTTTTCTCCTTGGAAGAAGTCAAGTAAATCACAAGCCTATTGGCAACAGGCAGACCCCTCACGAACAATGGAAGACGTCTTTAGCTTTTTCTCAAGGGGTATCTCTTGAGCAGGCGGGGAAAATCTCTTCTTTCCACCTTCATTCACAACAAGCTCCATGACGGCGATCAGAAGAGCTAATGCCTCTGCCTTGATTCACTTTATCTCCTCTCTCGCAAACATCCCACCTTTCTCCTAGCGAAGAGGACTAAGTAGCCAGTGCCATTCACGGTAGTCAACAGGGATACCCAAAGCAACATGCACCTTCTTCATATCTAGAGAAGTTTTGGGAGTTGAGCCGAATTTCAAATCTACATAAGCTAAGGAGGATAAACAACAAATTAGATAGCAACTCAGCAAAAGCACAAAGCAGCCTAAAAACTAAGCAGTTAACTTCGGTGACAAAAATCGTCGAAACTTATAGCTCAAGGGAAGAATTAGACTCCTACTCTCCACTTATCTCCAAAGTCTCTTTGGCCCAATCATGATCTCCTTTGCTTGAATGATCGAAGAGCCTATAGCAGGATCGCAGGTGCCTAACTCCATCAATATGGCCTTTGTCAAAGAAGTACTAGAATTCGTTGATGGTTAGACCCAAGTCAAAGAATTGGCTAGGTTGAGGAATCCCACTATCACACTGACCACATTTGGAGAACATTGAGCAGGGGCACGCTTCATGGAGCAAAGCACTTCCTGGAAAAAACGCGGCATAGGAAAAGTAAATTCTAACATGTAGTAGTAAGGGTGAAACTTGATGGCTCTCCGAGGCCTATTACATGGCTCATAGCTGCTACCCTCCTTGACATGCTTCATATACACCCTAGATGAAATGGCATTCCTATATGTTTCAAGGAAATCTCTGAATGAGTCATCGGAGCTAATTTTAAAGCAAGCAGCCTTAAAGTAGCCCATTTTACTTAAAGACCCATCTTGACGATACAACAGCGGTACACCATCATTACTCTTGTGGCTTGAAGAAGACATGCTCCAAGAAATTCTACAAAGACGAGAGAAAGAATCGTTAAAAAGAAAAAAATGTCAGTGCATCAGGCCCTACTGCCTGGTCCAAACTCTTTCAGCCTAATCCAATTGGAAGGGGGTTAGCACCCCCGCGCTTCCCTCTTTCACTCTTTCACTTCTCCTATGGGTTGAAGCCCAACCATCAACAAGCTAGCTCAGGAAGGAGGCTCGAGCTTCCCTTCCTCTCTCCAACATGGGCCTAGACACAACGAGCCAGACCCAAGCGCCCCAGAGCCCTGGCCCAAGCCAACCACACTCCAAGCCCAAGGCTAGCGCCGCTAGCCCTCGACCTAAGCCGAGCTGCCGCCACACCATGTTACCCACAGCAAATAGTGCCATGGTCTTTCCAAGCCACCTTTTCACACATCCTTGACCCCCGACGAGCCAAATTTCAAGCCCCAGGGCTCCAAAAA